TGTGAGCACACATGTGTGTCAGTATATATGACATGTGTACGTGTGTGTGTGTGTGTGTGTGTGTGTGTGTGTGTGTGTAGCATGTGGAGGCCAGGGACCAACATCTGCTGTCTTCCTCTATTGCTCTCCATTGTTTTGAAATGGTCCCTCACTGAGGTTGAAGCTCACCTGTTGACTAAAATGGCTGTCCCGTGGGCTCCAGGATGTATCTGTCTCTGTCACTCCAGTTCCTGGCTTTTAAGTGGGTGCTGGGGATTGGAACTTGGGTACTCACACTTACACACAGTACATACTTTACCTAATGAGCCACCACCCACCCCCTTCTTCAATACTGCTTTTGAGTTACTTTGCAAACAGCACAACTGTTTTGACGGTATGTACCTCTGGGACAGTCTCTGTGCCCAGTTTTCAGGGTGTCCTTCTCTTTGATGGTCCCTGTAGCTTTATAATTAGTTTTGGAAATATTCTTTTTCAGAATTGTTTGCACTCTTTCAGCTCTTTTGGATTTTAATGTAAATTTTATAGTTAGCGGATTGATTTCTATAAATGAACTGGAGGAGATTGTGGTTAGGATTACTTTGAATCTACAGAACAAATGAAGGGCATAGACATCTTGGAGTTCATTAACATGGCGTACCTGTTTATTTAAATCTCTGTTTTCATCGTTGCATTGTACATTTTAGCATCTAGATTTCCCACAAATTTTGCTAGATTTACACCAAAGCTCTTTATATTCCAGCGCTATTGCAAATATGTGTAGCAATAGGTGTAGTGTGTCTCTCTTTTCTGTAGCTGCTCTTGTTACCTGGAGGGAGAGGAGGCATGCTGAAGGTCAAACAAGGAGCTGCTGTGTGCACACTAGGCTTGCACTCTACAACAGAGCTGATTGCTCGGCTCTCTTCAAAGACTTGAATATTATATCGATTTTAGCGGTTGAACTATGATGTGCTAGATGTGTTCCATGTATTATTTATCAACAGACATACACTAGTAACAAAAACACAACCATCTAAGAACTCAAGAATTGATAATTTTTCATTTATATACTGGAATGATGTGAAATATTCATTAAGATGAAACATGGTAAAGCAATAAAGTAGTTTAGTAAAAAGAAAAACAATTTTCACACAAATATTTGAAAATTTAAAATATTTGTGTAAGAAACATTGGTGAAATAGAGTTATTTATTAAGTCTTTCCCCCTGGAAATTGTTGGTTCTGATTTTTTATTATTGAGACAGCATCTCTCTATGTATTTTTCTGGCTGTTCTGAAACTCTATGCAAACCACACTGGCTTTGAAATCAGGAAATCTGTTTATCTCTGCCCCCAAGTGCTGGGATTAAAGGCATGCATCACCACTTCTAGCTTGCTTTGGAATAGGGTGTGGCTTTGTGTTTCTGGCTGGCTTGGAAACAATGCAGCTCAAACTGGCCTTGAATTTATGGGTTATCCAACTTCCTCTGCCTCCCAAACGCTGGGATTACAGGTGTGTGTCACTACATCTGACTCTGAGGATCTTAAAAAATAAAACAGCTTTTGGGGCTGGAGAGATGGCTCAGTGGTTAGGTGCACTTTTTGGTTCTTCTAGAAGATGTAAGTCCATCTTCCAGCACTGACTTCCGGGGCTCACGATTGCCAGTCACTCCAGTTTGAGGTGAATCTGCCACCCTCTTCTGGTTCTGAAGCCACCTGCACTTACATGTATACCCCCCATGCACAATACACAATCAAAAAATAAAATGATCTCGAAAACACAACAGCTTTTTTTTTTTTTTTTTTTTTTTTTGAGCTATATTGCACATGCCATTGTGGATGAAAGCAATCAAGACTTTACAAAATGGACACAACGTACAATTCTAGTGTTGAGAATATCCAGAGTTATGCTGAAGGGACAAGACCCTCACTAGCGGTCATGAGAGGCTGCAGGAAAGATCCAGCAGGAGGAAGCCAGGTACCCTCCATGTGGCAAGGAACCAATCACAAGTTAGCTGGAGGGCTCTGGGTGTGCCTTAAGGTAACAGTGGAGTGCAGGGCATGGCAACCACTCTGGGAGGGCCTATAGGCCCTAGTAACCAATCAGCTCAGGACAGGTCGCCCAAGCTTGGAAGTAAAGTGCACCAGTTCTGAGACTGTTGTGGACACCAGACACTCCCCCTTGCTCTGCTCCAGTAAATTCCCTGCCCCAAGGTCCTGCTGGGTCCTGATCATGCCACCCACCGTCTAACGGACGGATGGTGGACCTGAGATAATACAGTTAACTTGTTAATTATTAAAGACTCTTTGCTTTTGCATCGGCTCGAGTCTCTTGGTGTTTTCTGGGGTTCAGAATTTGGGCACAACAGTGCAACCAGAAATATAGTGTGTTTTAGAGTTTATCATTCCCTCAGAGAATGCTCACACCTACCAGGAGCCATTTCCTGTTCTTTTCTCTTCTCCATTCCCGGTCCTACACAAATCATTAGTCAACTTTTCTATTTATTTGCTAGTTGTGAGCATTTTACACAAAGGCAATCAAGCAATAGTTAGGATTTTCTGACTTAGGTTAATGTGTTCAAAGTTCACCCACAGTGGGTCCTGTATCACAACTGTTTGTCTGCACTGCCAAATAACATTCAAATGTTACTATTTTTACATCATGGCTAAACATTATGGTAAATAGCCCCATAGGCAAGTCTCTAAGGATTGTCTCCCTAGCATAGAATGAATGGGTCGGAGGACAAATCTCTCTCTACATCTTGGTTTTATCTGTGTATTGGAAGAAAATTACACATATTGTTGTAATTACCTGAAAAAGCTAACAAGTGCATGTGCATATGTACATGTAAGTCACACATTTCAATATGTTTTAAATTAGATTTTGTTTGATAGTTAGTAACAACTTCGACACAATGAAACACAAATCCCTGCATGTATTACTAAGCGGAACAAAAACTAATTATATCACTCTGTCCTTTCCATTAATATTCATGTCATATAAATAAATCAGGATGTAACAGAAGCTCTGTATCCTGATAAGTAAATCTAATAGGCATCCTAATAATTCATGGCATGCCCTCAGGATAATAGGGCATTGTTTTTCAGGTGGCTATTTTAATTTCAAAGAGGCTACATGGGATTCATTTCAATGAGCTACAGACCAAAACATTCAGTTTGAGGCTAGGTCCTTAATTCATCTCATATTACCCAAACATCATACAATACTATATAATTGGGGGCTAAAAATTCCACCTGCCATTTTAAAGAGTGGGAATCTGTAAAACAATCTAAACATGCACTGGGCATCTTGTTTCCATGTGGTGGAATTGGAGAAGGTACTTCTGGTTACTGGGGTTTGGCCAGCAGTCATAGGCTGGCCCCTTGGGTCTAACAGGACCCCTGGCTACCCTACAAAATCTAAGTGGTCACTTCAATCTCCTGGATGTATTTTTTTTTTCTTGGATAAAACTATCATTCATTCCACACCTGGTAGCAGCTCATCTTCGTATGGTCACACAGTTGGTCAAAACCCCTCACATCTGCCGCCTTTCAGGAATGGGGACTAAAAAGGGAACCCCGGGACAAAGACCATGTGGTTGTCTTTGGGGATCATCACTGTAGCTGACTGGAAAATATTTTTAATTACCTTATGACACATGACAGAAAGGACTGGATAGCAAAATCCCTATATGGAAATTATTTCATAAAGTTTCATTTTCATTCTTTTTATTTAGCAATCTACCCTGCCACCTCAGACCACATGACCGGCTGGCTAAACTATGCGTTCCAAAATATGTTGTTGACATTTATTACAGTGAAAACGCCATTCCCTGGACACTCAAAGGTCATCATGAGATGGTATGTAATAAGGAGTACCGTATGGTTACAGGATCTATCCGAATGCCAACGCTTTTTCCCTTCTCCTGGACATTTGCCTAAACTGAGAAACGAGGCGTGAACAGAAGTCCTGCATTGAAGTTCTAGATGAGTGTAGAGGTGATGATGTTAACTTAGATATGCACAAGGCTTAGTTAGTTTGGATTCATCTTGGGCGGAATGAAGAACTGTGCCTTTCTCAGCTTGTAATCAGCAGCCACAACACCTATAATCATAAAACAAAATTGCACAGAATCCAGAGCAGAGCATTCCGGAGCCATCCCGTCCCCCTTATTGGATGGAATGAAGGGCCCTGGTGCATGCTCGACAAGCGCTTCTATTCTCCCTTCTGGATTTGATGTTGTGGTCAAATTCCTCTTCCTGTCCAATTTTTTTTTTAAGTTCTTGGAGAGTATGCATTATTATTCCCGTTCTTTAAATGGAATCCAGAGTGCGGGAAATCCAAGCAAAGGTGAATAGAACTAGTATTGCTGGGGAGAGTCAAGCCTGCCTGGCTTTCTTTGCCAGGGCCTACTCCAGAGCTGGGTGTAAACACAACCGGGGGGGGGGGTCTTTAAGAGGGGCAAGAGCTGAGCATCATTACACACTAGGCTCTTTGCCACGCAACCGAGTGGCCTTGGGAACCAGATGATCCACACTGCAGGTCAGGCGTGGTGAGGACGGCGAGGCAGGGCCCAGGTTCTGATGACCCCTCTTCACACTGGTATAACGGATAGAAACCCGCGTGACCACACTGCCACGCCCTCCCCTCAGTAGTGACTCAATTGCCTGACAGCCTGCAGCATGCACCTGCTGGGCGGTGTGGCCTCAAGGTGCTCAGTGCAGAACCGAGATTTTTCCAGCCCTGGTGGGACATCAATGCGTGAGAGCTGGGGCAGGAGCCTGAGCGTCTGGGGTCAGTCAGATCCCGCTCAGATCCGCTGTGCAGCTCTGGGGTAGCGAAACCGGGGCGGGTCTCCTCTGCGCGCGCGTGCGGGTGGGAGTCAGGGCGCAGGGGAGGCCGCACGCAGGGCCGCACGAACATCCCTGGGATGATCGCAGACGCCCTGGGGCCGCGACACCTGACCCGCCTTCGCTGCCCACACCCCTCCCAGGCCCAGCGCCCAGGCCCGCCCGCTGCAGGTGGAGCAGCCGCGGCCCGCGAGTAGGTGCACGGGATGATCTCACCGCGTGCTGCGCGCCAGGAGGAGGAGGAGGAGCAGGAGGAGCGGGAGCGATCCCAACTTCCGGGTAGTGCAGCCGCACGCCGCGCCACGGGCGTCTTGCTTTCTGCTCCCCCTCCCCCGTGTCCCCCTCGCCTCTCCCTCCTTGCCTTTTATCCCCAGCCCCACCCGCCAAAATGAACAGCTCGGACGAGGAGAAGCAGCTGCAGCTCATCACCAGCTTGAAGGAGCAAGGTAGGCGGGCGGGCGGGCGCAGGTGCGGGGAGCCGCGGCCTCCGGCGGGACAGCTCCGAGCGCTGCCGCAGGTGACAGCCAAGGACCGAGGGTCGCGAGGCCGACGCGGTCACCCAGCAGCTCAGGGGCTGTGGAGCGCTCCCGGAGCTCCGCGCGCCGTGCAGGGCCCTGGGCGGAGGAGCTGAATCGCGACCTGCAGGACTGGGGATCGCGGGACCGGCGGGAGGGGACACGCATCGGGCGTGGACAGGGTCACGGCTGGCACCTCGGTCCACGCGGGAGAAGCGAGCAGGGCAGGGTCGCTGGGCGCACGGCGGTAGTTCGGCTGGCCTGGCTCCTAGCCGAGGCTCCACCCTTGCACACTTCAGCGTTCCTGGGCCTGCAGTTTTCCCAGCTTTCCTTTGGGGTTCGAGCTAGTTCCTTTTTCTTTACCCAGCTGGGATTTTTTTTTTTTTCTTTCAGGCCAACCATGCGTGCTCACCACTTCCCATTTTTAGCAATTTATTAGTCAGTGAGTCGACACCATGCCTGTGTGGGTCTCTCTGGGGGAGCTGGGTGCTGGAAAAGCCAGGCCCTATTGCATGCATTTCTCCACTGCTTGATAGGTAGCTGGTGATTGTCATCTGCACATTGGTGAACAAAGCCAGATCCTAGAGGCAGTTAAACACACACACACACACACACACACCAGGTAATTATCCTGCTCAAATGGGTTTGAAAACATGGGTCAAGAAAGAGGAACCACATAGGTTTAGGAAGTACAAGTGTGCAGGGTTGCAGGGTATGGTTTTCTCTGAGTGACCCGCTGTCCTCCCTTCCTGGAGTCTTGTGACAGGCTAAGCCAGATGGTTTAGAGGTCCTACCAAGAACCTGAGCTGTTGTTCTTCACACCTGTCAGCCCTGGGCAAAAAGATCTCCACAGAACTGTCACCTCGGAGAGTTGGCTAACCTCACCCATGCGATGTAGCAAGGCTCTCTATCTAGCATCTAGAAACCCTGAATGGGTGTTAATGGCATTCCTTCTCCACAATTAGCCCCAAGTCAACCCACGCAGCACCCGTGACTCCAGTAGATGGACAGATTGCCTTACTTGGACTCTCCAGTGTTTTTGTTTGTTTGTTTGTTTAGTGGAGAACTGGATTTCACTAGCACTTATTTTTTAGTAACACTTTTCCGTGTCTCATCACAACACACAAGACTTTTGATTCATTTTTCTGAACTTAGGAAACTTTCAGTGTCAGTCAATACCAGATCCTTTGATGGATGGTCAGTTTGCAAACGATAACAAAACAAAATAAAATATTACCCCCTCTTACTCTGTTTGTAACTCTGAGAGTACACCAACTATGGCAACATCCACAAACACCTCTGGCCCTTTGCTGAACCGAGGTTTGAAGAAGGGAGGATTCCTAGGCTTTGAGCTCCTTCTCTTGTGTTGCATTCAAAAACAAATCCACGGGCTTGGTGTTTTTGAGGGCTCCGTTTTCCTGATGGAGGACTTGAACCAGGAGCAATAGAACCTAGGTTTGTGTTTCTTACGAGTACTGTCTCTCTCTCTCCTCCCCCTTCCTCCCCTCCTCCCTCTCTGACATTAAGACTTGTCACATGGGTGTTGGAGTTGTTCAGCCTACAGTGAGATTTTCATACCTTAAAACCGGAGTGTGTTTGTCAGACAGACCATGATAAAAACTTATTTGCGAGTACTTAACAGCTGTTCGACCTGTAGAATTAGCTGGGAAGGCAGGCATTTGAGGTGTAAACATGGCCACCAGGTCTCTGGGGTTCAACGGTATTATGGTCCACTTTTTTTTTTAATGTCAATGGTGGGTTGTTGCCATGGTGAGTCATAATTTTAATTCCCCCATTTAACATGAACAAGAAGAACATTTTTGATTGGTTGCTAGGTTTTCCTTGTTTAATGCTGATGTAAACGTATGTTTTTGACTCTTTAGCAACCAATTACTCATGTATGGGGCCCAAGTTCTAGAACATGTGGCTATAGATAGTGAATCAGGCTATGCTGTCTTCAATCAAAGATGTGTGAAAACAAATAGACCACTACCTTTTTCTGGAATAGGGTCTTAGAAATGGGACTGTTGGATTTGATGGCGTGCATATGATGAAATTATGTCGCCCGGCGCAGAGGCACTGCTCGGTCAGTAGTTGCCATAGTTTGCAAGCCCCGAATAGTGCCCTCATCACACATCCTGGTTAACGCTGGCCGGCAGTAATCATCAGTTGGGCAGCCTGACAAGTTTCTGAATGTTTGCGATTGGAATGGCAAAAATGCCTCCTTTAAAATGTGTACTGCCCTGCCTATTAGCCTAGCTCTAACCCTCACATATTTCTTGGCCAATTTTGTCTCCTCATGTGGTTCCTCCTTTCGTGAGTTTCAAGTCTGAAACTTGAACTTGTCCCCAGGAAGGGGTGTTTGGGCAGGAGGCTGCTATGTGTTCTGAGAGCTGACAGCAGTCTTCTCCAGCGAGAAGCCTTCAGTGGTGAGAATAAGGTTGTGCTTGACAAAAGTTGTGAAATGCAGTGACGGAGCCTGTCATAATATGAACAGTCTCTAATTTATATGTACTGTTCTCCAAGCTCTGTGTCTTATAAATCACACCGCTTCTGAATTACCTCACAACAGTGTATGTTCCCGTCTACTGAATGGTATAATTAGGTAGATTATGTCTTTCTAGAAAGTTATATTATGTCCCTTAAAAAAATTAGCCAGTGTGCGATTTTTTTTTTTTTTTTATGCTCAAGCAGACGCTGAGGTAATGAGGTAATTCTTCCTTTCTTTTGTCTTTTTCACCCCCCCCCCCTGGGCTTTATTTTATTGGGCTGATTGACATTGTTAATGCATGGAGAAATGGCAACTTAGGATACTATTTCCGATGCATATTTCCCAGCTATCAAAGTGGACATTTCCCTTACAAAACATCATACAATTTTCTCTCTCTGTAGAATTCTTTTCGGAAAATGATAGACTTAGTTCAGCATTTGTTGAAGGTGCTCGGCTTTCTGTGTGATTCATTCAACACACATACACTGAATATTCATAGCCAGGCACTGGGCAAGCATCAGCGAGTCAGGCCTAGTCCCTGCTAGTGATGAGCTCTGGAGACAGTATAAAACCCAGGAGGAGTGTCTGGTTGGCTTATATGGGTCATGGATTCTTAGTGCAGCTTGAGTGGTGTGGATTACTATTACTGTCCAGGGCAGAGTGGGCCAGCACCACTAAAGGGCCTGACCAACCATTAGGGCGGCCAACACAGCATGGCAGTGTCGTTTGGAACCTGGTGATGCGTGGAAGTGTGGTTTCCACTTTACCCCTTCCTTCCACCCCTCTTTCCCTCGCCCCCTTTCATCCTCCCAGTGCTAAGAATGGGACCCAAACCCTTGTATGTGTTAGGCAAGCTACAGCAACAGAGAAAACCAAAAAGCCGTGGCCATTCTTGGGCAAATACTACTTGAAACAAACATCCTGTGGTAAGTTTTCTTGTTTGAGACGTGGTCCCGGGAAGCTCAGGTTGGCTTCAAACTCTGCGTTAGCAGGTGGCAGCCTCGAGCTCCTGAGTCTCTTGCCCCCACTTCCCAAGTATTCGGATTACGAGTGCATGCACCACCACATTCCAGCACAGATGGCTAACACAGAGCTGGCGCTTAAGCTTCATCTCCTTCCTAGAGCTAAGCTAGTGACTCATGGGTGCTTTTCCAAGATTCCTTCAGCTCCTGAGGGAGGAAACAGAGCATTGCTGTGAATAAAAGGGCCCAGGGTTTGTGTGGCTGTGTTAGTATGTGAAGCTGAGGTGCTGGCCCTGGGTGATACACTCAGAGCCACTCAGGAGAAGGCAATGCGAAAGGACATTGGGGTCACACACAAACTTGGCCTTTCAGCGCTGTGTGGTCCGCAAGCTGCCAGTTTGTGAGTCACAAGCAGCTTATTAGAATTGTAGTTTGCTTCCAAGCTCAGTGAGCACTTTTGAGGGGAAGTGTCTAGGCCCTTCAGAAGATGGGTCTTCATGGCTAGAGCCAGGCCTGTGTTCCCCTCTCCATTAACATGACTCCCAGGGAACTGGGTCTTCTCCCTTTTGCTTTAAGCAATATTAACATAAAATAAAAGTCGAAGGTATAATGCTCTCTTTCTTCTAACCCATTGTTTCTCAATCTATGTTTTACTATCACTCTAAAGAGAAGACTTTATATACGCAATGACCTTGAGTTGGCCAAGGTTTTCTTTTCCTTTTTTTCCCCCACTGAAAATATGCTTTTGGTAATGGAGTAGAGTTAAAGATATCTGAATAAACTTGATTAGTGTAGACATAGATTGTGACATATAGAAATATGTCTATGTTTATAATATATATATATATATATATGAGCATATTTATCACTTAGAACATGGCTGCTAATAATGCCCTCTGATAAAACAAACAGGGGTTCCCAAGGGAAATGGCTGGTTTTATGATTGAGATACCCAAATATACAAGCTAATCCTGGGACATCCTGTGGCTCCCAAAACTAAGGAAGTGTTCAAACTAATACATGATAGGACCAAGAGACACAGAAGCCAACTGAAGAACAGTCCACTGCCCAAAGTTGGAGCAGTTAAAAACAAACAAGAGGTAACTCAGAGTACAAAATAGTGTGTGTGTGGCAAAATAAAGTGTGTGGGATGCGATGAAAATAACACTTTGTCCCTTAAAAATCTCGAAGTCCCATGCACTCTTAAGGAAAGCATCAGAAAAAAACTCTGGCTGAGGTAGATTCACTCCTTAACGGTCTCGGCAAAGGGCCAGGTAACAGAGGTGTCCTGGCAGTGCCAAAGAATTGCCACAAGTTCAGACTCATTCTCAGCTATTCAGTGAGTTTGAGGCTAGCCTGGGCTACTTGAGGCCTTGCCTCTCCCATCTCCCTGGGGGAAAAACAGTTCATTCAACCCAGCCCCAAATTAAAAAAAAAAAAAAAACACACTTCAATACAAAACCAAAAATTTGTTAAGG